GCAAAAGAAAAAACATGGAGCAAGGAAAATCAGCAAGGGTCTAGGGAAAATTTGCATGGGTTTCAGAGGGTTGGTAGAGAGAACAATCGAGGGAGAGAGAATGGGAGTGACGGCTGGGGGTTGAGAGATAGAGTAGGAGATAGAAACCAGAGAGTGTGTGTGACAGCGAAGGAGAGTAGAGAAAAAAAAAAGAAAAGAGCTTTCGGGTCAGGAAAAACTGAAAAGAAAAAGAAGAAGAAGAACTGGAGAGCGTTAGGAGTTGGAGATAGATCGAGAGCTAGAAGAGGAGAAGGGAGAAACGAGAAGGCCAAGCAAGGAAGTGCTACTGGAATTGCTGACCGAAGCAAAAAGCTGCTACCACTGCATTCTGCTATCATCAGTCGTGAGTCTCCAACGAAAGAGAGACCACTGTAAGCTATCCTCTCTTTTAAACCCCAAGTTTTCTTCAGGCGCAGATTATTTAAGCTTTCCAAGCATGTATGTGTGTGATTGGAAATTGTGAACCTAAATTTGTTAGTTTTCGTGTTTCCTTTCTGTCATAAAGAATGAAACGGGTATCATCTGTGGTTGATTTTTCATGGCTCAAAGATGTTGCCTTTTTGCTGTTATTGTATATGATGGGGTCTGAAATTTGTTTGGTGTTGATTATATTTCATTCCTAGGCTATAGTTTAGTAGCAAGACCCCAGCTTTGAAAATAAAAGACTTTTACATGGCCTGTACGTTTGAAACGCTGGGTAGGTTGTGAAGAAAGGTGACCTGTGTCATTTCCTTTTTTGAATCTGTCTTGGCCTGTTCGGATGTTGGAGTCTTGTTCTGGTTCTTGCTGAAACTTATAATTTGATTGAAATCTGGGATTTGTTGTTCATCTAATACACCACATGCATGTCCAAACCAAGTTTCATCTTCGTGTATCTTGGCTGCACCAGAATTGCAGAAAGCATTATTGTGAATAGGAAAGTCTTCGAACCATTTTGTATGGAAGTCTTACATAATTTCCTTTGAAGTTTTTGTTTGTTTGGATTGTGGTAGCTATGTGTTTTGTTGCTTAGTTTAAAGTTATGATTTTTGGTTCAAAAGTTTGATCAAAGTTGTGTGTTTGGGTCCAAAAACACTTGAATTAAGTCCGGATAATTGTTGGAAAACGAACTCCTGAGTTGCTGATAAAAGTTGTAGCAGATTTTGAAGTTTATTGTTCTTCCTCTTGTGTTTTATCATGTTCATGATCTAAGTGTTCATGTCTTGTTGGCGACTTGTGAGCCAAAAAGCCACTAGCTTTTACATTTTTCTCTCCCCATGAAGCTGAAACTGATGTTATCCGTTGGTTCCTCCTTTGGTGATATTCGTGGTTTTAAAAAACTTGGGTTTTATGGTTTTCGTTTACTCGAAAACTTGGGAAGGGTCTGGTGTTTGATGGTTTGAGTGAGACACCTAAAAATTTTCTTTGAGTCCTGATGATACCACCACTAGTTTCATCAGAAGCCAACTGCATTTTCCGTGTGTCCTTCATGTCTTATATTGCTTGGGTTCTCAATGGTTGCTTCATGTTTGGATTTCCTTGTTTGGATGAGTTTGATGCTTTATTGTTTAAGGCCGAGGCTTTGATGTCTGCTTGAGATTATATGCTAGAGGGATGCTATATCAAAAAACTTAGAAAGCTGGTTTCTTTTTCTGCCGCAACATGTGCTTCCCATTTGGTTATTCATTTGATTAGCATGGTTTGTTGTTTATGTTATTGGTCAAGGGGTGTTGAGAGTTAGTGTTAATTGGGTTTTGCTTGAAGTCTGCTATGGCATTTATGGAAGGAGGTTCTGTTAGCTGCTAAAGGTTTTGATTGCAGAAGCTTATTTGCTTGTTTCGTAGTTATTGCATGGAATTTGCATGCAAAAATAACTTCTAAAAATTGCAAATCATCCTCACATGTTTCTCCTCTTTCTATGAGGGCCCAATTAGGTTCTGATTTCTTGCAATTAGGTTCTAAAATATTGCAATTTGAACCATTACTTGACCCCTTCTTTGCTCTTGGACCCGTGAATTTCCCAAAATGTGTTAATTGGGCTTGAGTGATTGGTTAATGTTTGCAATTGGGTCTTTAGTAGTTTTTCTATTTTAGAAATTTGATCAATAATTTACTTTTCTTGGAAATTATGCATTATTTGATTTCATTTAAGTTGCGATTGGGAGGGATTTGGTGATTTTGTTTATACTTTGCTATTTAATTGGTGCCTTGACCCTTTTATTGTTTTGAAGCTATTTTTCCTTCATTTGATTACCATTGCAAGGGAGGTACACTCTATCCCTTATTTTCACTTTATTTGACCCTATGTATCTATGTGATTTATGTGCTTAATTGCATGCTTTTTGAATGTTTTCATTTTATTTATTTGTTTATTATCCATTTTATTTGTTTTAATTTTGTATAGTTATTTTCAATTTCGATTATTTGAAAGGCACTTGAATGCCAAAGTTGTAATAGCTAGGTTATTATTTTATTTATTTTATTCCGTTTCCCCTCTTAGATTATAGCAGGCTTCCCCCGAATGTAATAGTTAGGGCTTTATCTGCTTTATTTGCCTTATGTGTGTTTTGCATGTCTATGTGCTATGTGTTACCGCTTTCTTAGGGTCTTGCATCTAGATATCATGCTTATGTGTTATGTGCTATATGTGATTTATGTGTTTACATGCTTTTATTAGGTCTTACATGATTTATTTGATTGTAACCGATGTGTGACGTCACCACACTAGTCCAATGCTAGTTGTGGTCAATTTCTCGAATCCACACTAGTCCAATGCTAGTTGTGGCCCTTTGTTTCGACTTTTTTCACTAGTCCAATGCTAGTGGGAAATTGTAGACATGGGCTAATCCAACGCTAGACCCTTAGGAGCCCCTCGCACGTTAGATCATGATTGTGTGATAAAATCACTTCATCTCACGCATATTTTCACTTTTTAGGGTCTTTTATCATTTTTTGCATGACATCCCTTCTTATATGTATATCCCTGCCCCCATATTTTCCCTTATATTTATTACTTACCCTTTGTATGAAAACATAACATTAGACTTGCATTTCATTTAAGAAATAGAAACTAGGTTAGATCATTTGTGTGCTAGATTAGGAAAACCCCTTTGATATGGGATATGGACGAGTTTGGCTTTTCTAGCCTTAGCACGATCGTATTCCCTCTATTAAAGGGAACATTGAAAGTCACGAGTGTAAGTCCCCCGCACCCATTATGATGCATTCCTTTAAGTCATGCACATTTGTATATTATTATTTTCTTTTCTTTTTTTTTCTTTCGAGTCTCATGACTTGCATTATTCGTGACTTCTTCGAAAAGTCTTTATTGGGCATCACAATTAATGTGATTGGCACCAATTGAGTTTTGAAGAGAAATTTCGACCCTCCGACACTCTCTTAGGTCTAGGGTATGCATTCACATAGTACATCCAAATGTGACAAATCTTAAGGGTAAAAGAAGAAAATCTTTGACTAAATCGCGCAACTAGCCTTGGCTAGGTTGAAAGGGTGCCTTAGATTCTTCCTTGCCTTCCCTTTCTTCAAATGTGACTCCCGAATCTTTTTCTCTGATTTTCGTAGATTTTGAGTCATTTAAAAAGAGTTTTCTACTTTTTTCTTTTAAAAATTTATTTTTAGGTGATTTGGTACACCTTAACTCTATACCAAGTGGCGACTCCATTTTTCATTCAAAAACCCTTTTTAAACTATATTTTGGGTCAAATCGTCATATTTTCAAGTCCCATTTAGACCCATATTTTTCTTTATTTTCTAAAAAAAATCAAAAACTCATTTTTCAACCAAAAATCGAATCAAAAGTCATTTTTCTAAACTCGTCTTTTATTTTTTTTTATTTTCAAAAAAAATGGGGCGTGACAGCTGGCGACTCCACTGGGAACTTAGAGAGTCCGAGCATATTGATTTAGTCAAACCTTTTCTTCTTTTAACCTTTTCATGTATCGCATTTGGATGTTTAGGGGTTGCATTTTTCTTTTCTAGGATTTTTACATTTCGCGCGTATCAACTCACTCCCTCACACATTTGCGTACGATTAATTTGATGGATGAATGGTTTATTTATGTGATCGCGCGCTTTGCATTGCATTTGGGGGGGTAATATTACCCTAGAGTCTCGCGTTGGTTCTCGATCCCTCCCCTCCAAACGAAGCACTTCATACGTGCATGCATAGTCTTATTTACCCTATTTTTTTCTTTTTTCGTGGGTGTTTCCCACACCTCCTTGTAGGATTAGGATCGATTGCCTTGGGTAGGTGGATGGTGTGCTCTGCGCCCATAGCGCTACCGAAGGGATCACTCGAGCCACCGATCGAAGGCTCTGGAAGTGATGACCCTTCGCCTTTAGGTCTGAAGGTTTGGGAGTCGAAACCTTATCGAGTCTAGATGCATTAGTAAGCCAAACCTCATGCATCCATATTAGAATTGCCTAGGATAGAGTCAACATTATCCTGAACTAGGGACACTATGCACGAGGGGAGGGATTCCAACCCTCTCACCTTATTTTTGCTTTCTATATTTTTATTATTATTTGATTGCTACAATGTGTTATGTGTTGAGTTAACTTTCCTGGTTTCCTGCCTTTTGCATTCACAAACATTAAGAGATAAAAGGTCTGGCATGATCTTTTTTTTAGGACCTACCCTTGTAGATAGGCAATTGCACGTTTAAGTAATTTTGGTATATTTCGTTCATAAATTAATTATGCCATATCATTTTAGGCCTACCCTGGCAAATAAATGGTTTCTTAGGTCATGTTTCATTTCAAATTGCATGTTTTACTACTTTAATAAACTGGCATCACGCATAAACCATAGAAAGGGAATGCCACATAGGGAATCCCGTGTTAGGAATAAGCCACCACATGTCTCGGATATTTAATCCAATGGGACTTACATGTTTACTATTTCTGTATTACCTAAGGGGTAAAATCCCAAGGTAAGGTACTAAAAGTGAATTTTCTTCCAGATGGCTCCATGTAGAATACTAAATCAGATACCTCGTGAGCTGGTAGATTGGAAGAACAATATGGCACACAAAGTGAATAGACTCTTCCAGTATATAGGACATTTATCTAGTCTCCTGAACATAACCCCGAATGTAGCCATTATCCGAGCTTTGCTCGAGTTCTGGGATCCGGACGGCTCCGTTTTTTCTTTTGGAGAGTGCGAATTAACACCAACCCTGGAAGAAATAGAAGGATTCTTGCAAGTACCTGGGAAAGGTCACCCTATGGTATTCCCAACGAATGGTACTAGAGAACAATTTTGTAGGTTCTTAGGGTTGAAACAGTTTTGCATGAACCAACACTCGGACGCGAGATCATGCCCGCTGGAGTTCTTATACACGCGATTTGGGGAAAAGGAAGCTTATGACCATCACCACGAAGATTTCTTCATTAGTAGAGAGCAGTGGGAGGAGAAAGGAGTACAAGCCTTTGGAATAACCCTGATTAATCTACTCCTGTTTCCGCAAAAGCATGGAAAAGTTATTTTCTCAACGGTTAACATGATTCAGAGTGTGTTTTTGGGAATTAAAGGAAAACCTCCCACCCTAGTAACCATTATCATTGCTGACATCTTTGCCGCTGTTACCGAATGCCGAAAGAAGAGAGGGTTTTTCTACGCATCCAACCTGGTACTTCAAATGTGGGCAATGGAACATCTGTCAAAAAGAAAACTAAATCCATTGGGATCATGCCTTCCAACAGCAAATTGGGTTGAGTCGCACCGAGAAAAGGTTAGAAAATACTATCGAATAGCGTCTCCGAGTTTGTTTATTCAGGAATTCAATGCTTTAACTTCGGATAAGATACAATGGGTTCTTGATTGGACGAAAGTAAGGGATCCAACTTTCAAGACTACACAGCTTGGCTTCATCCCGTTAGCAAGCACCAGTGGATTAATTATGTATGTGCCACAACGAGTTATGAGACAGTTTGGGTATCCACAGCGAGTGCCGACCATACAAGGAGTGGGAAGCATCGAACTCAATACAATTACTGAGTGCCGGAGTATAGTGCTGGAATCTTGGGGGAATCTGTGTAGTTTGGACAACCTGCATTTGGATCAAGTGAATAAAGTAGAGCCTAAGATCGTCCCGGAGTACAACGACTGGATCAAATCGATAGTGAAACAGGGAAGAGAAAGGGTACCGTTGGTCTCCGTTAGTCTTAAAGAGCAGAATGAGAAATTAAGGAAATATTTGGAGGATCATTAGTTGCAGATCGTGGTGACCGATCAAGCATTGGAAGATGTCCGATCACAATTGAAGAAAGAGGCAAGAAAAACTGAGAAATTGGAAAAGGCATTGGGTGCATTTGATAAAATCCAAAATGAGATTCGGAAACTTAGTATCGGGAGTTCCAGGGAATCTCAACACACTAGACTAGTCAGATATGAAGATTTTGTAAGAATGGTCAGTCGAACCATCAATGAGGTTGTAAAGAATGATTGACTCTATCAATGTTAATGAGAATTTTTGCTTTTTCATTCGCTTACAGGTTTGAAATTGGAATTTTACCCCGAAGGTATCGCATCATGTTAGGCCTACCCTTGGCACAAAAAGGGCCCCCCCAATAGGACATGCATCTGAGTTATTCTAATCATTACTAACTCCTGTCTTTTTCCTTTTCTTTTCCTTTTTCTTCCTTTTTAACAACAGTCGATCGAGATGGGCATCTAATGGGGGTTTTCCTACGTTTCCAGGTAGTAAATTGCAAATATAGCTACCCGAAGAAGCCCCATTATCACCCGATCACGTAGCCGAGCTTCAAGAGAAAGTGTAAACATGAGTATCCATCCAGAACCATCTGATAGGCCCGCAACGACATCATCAACTGATTTGGCGAATCTGGGAGCTCAGCTGAGCGAAATTCTCAACCGATTTAATGAGCTAAGCATTGAAATGATGGCCCAACGGTGCGTAATCGATCAATTGGTAGCTAGTGGTGCTAGCGGTAAACAACATGAGCCTTTTACCCCCTGGCCAATCTGAAACTCAACCCATATTCTTACCCTATACTCAAACCTCTGTTATTTCACAAGTCATAAACCCACCTGAGGAAGCCTTTACTTATCCCACTCATGGCCCACAACCTACTTATGCACCTCACATCCAAACTAACCCTCCACATGTCCAAATTCTCCAAAATTATCCGCCAATCACTATGAGCATGCCATTCGAACCATAGGGGCCTCATTATTACTCCACTGCTGAGCCATTCACTTTAGATACCGCTGCTCAAGGAAAGTTGAAGCCGGGGAGTCATCCGCACCAGTGGACAAGAATTTACTGAAGAGATTAGATCGGTTTGAGGAGTTTATAAGGAAAAGCCAAGGTGTGAGCAAGCAAGGAGGTCTAGACTACAACGAACTGTGCCTGTTTCCGGATATGCAATTGCCGGTGGGTTTCAAAGCACCCAAATTTACCAAGTATGACGAAATGGAAAATCCCAAGACTCACCTTCGAATGTTTGCAAACAAGCTAGGGAGACCAATAGACGATGAGAATCTGCCGATACGCTTATTTCCCGAGAGCCTAGAAGGCAATGCGTTGGATTGGTATTCCAATTTGAAACCTGAGGATATGAGATCTTGGCTGGATTTGTCAACCGCTTTTGTAAGGCAGTATGAATACAATTGCGAGCTCGCCCCGACGAGAACCACATTGGAGGGGACGAAGAGGAAACCATCGGAAGACCATAAGACGTATGCGAAGAGATGGAGGAAATTGGCTGCCAAGGTGGAGCCTCCTATGACTGAAAACGAGATTGTTCGCACGTTCATCAAAGCTCATGACCCGCCTTACTTTGAGGAGATTTTTCGAATGACAGGGTGTTCCTTTGCAGAGATTGTCAATAAATTGGAAGAATATGACGAGTTTATGAGAGCGGGGAAAATTGTTAATGTTTCAGCTTTAAAGTCGCAGTTGGAAGCTTTGCAAAGCCAAAGTAGCAGTAGTAAGAAGTCTCAATTTAAGAAGAAAGACGAGAAAGCCTCTTTTGTTTGGAACCAGGGCTCTTCTTCCCGGCCTAGATATCAACAAAATCCTGCCTACTCACCTCGTTACTTATACCAACCACGCCCCCGCCCTGTTTACAATACCACTATCAACCACCCCCGTCTTCGACCAAATTACCCAAACACACCATCAACACCATTTCATATTTCCCCACCAAACTTTCAAATTAGACCGCGCCCTCCTTTCAACCCAAGACCTATTCCACCCCCAACCCAAGTTACCACTATCAACAAACCAGTGACACCCAAAATCCAACCCCATACCGAACCTTCACCAATCTAGGTCGACCCGTTGACCAATTGTATGAGCAATTGAAAGCTGCTGGGAAAATTGGCACCGTACCCCCTAAGACCTATTCCAAAGGATTTCCCATTGGTTATGATCCTCAGTCATTTTGTGCTTATCATTCGGGAGCCCCTGGACATTCAACTGGCAATTGCTGGGCGCTTAACCATAAAATTCAAGACATGATTGAGTCCGGTGACATAATTCTGAGGAGGATGGAGGAACAAGGTCCAAATGTTAGTAAAAATCCTCTTCCTACACACAAGGACACCGTGGGAGTTATTACTATGGATGAAGAGATTGAGGAACCTACACAATTTATTATAGATGAAGCTGAGACAGTAAGGGTCATTGAAGAACCATTCATATTGGAGGAAGAAGCTTATAAAGTCAAGAAAAATACCGGTCCGTTTATTCTGGAAATGGTGCCTTTCGAATGTGAGCCTTCAGAGCTGGTGGTACTTGAATTGCCTGAGCAACCTCCTATCCTTAATCTGCAAGAGGTCCCATGGAATTATAGCGAGCCTACGCTATTAGTTGGAGGAGAGAAGGTGCCCAGAAAGGAAGTGGACGCTATTACTAGATCTGGAAGAATCATAGGGGAATCCGCAGTTGATGAGCCCTCAAAAGCGAAAGAAAATGCTGTTCCGACAAAACCAACTGTGACTGATGAAGAGGCCTTCAATTTCCTTAAGATGCTGAAGAAAAGTGAGTATAAGGTGGTCGAACAATTGGACAAGATGCCCGCTCAAGTTTCTATATTGAATTTGCTTCTAACCTCGGAACTTCATCGAAAAGCTTTACTCAAGGTCTTAACTGAGGCTCAAGTGCCTAAGAATATTCCTGTGGATAAATTCACTTAGGTAGTCGAATAGGTTTTGGCTTCAAATCAAATTTCTTTTTCTGATGAAGATTTGATTTTGGATGGGATTGGACACAATAAAGCATTGTATATCTCAGTCCGTTGTAATGGGAAGTTATTGCCAAGGGTCTTGATAGACAATGGATCTGCTCTTAATATCTGTCCTTGGAACACTTTGATTAAGTTGGGATTTCAAGAAGCTAAACTTCGGCCGTCTGCCATTGTGGTGAGAGGATTTGATGGCGCAAAAAGGGAATCAATGGGGGAAGTGAATTTAGTGCTGGAAATTGGACCTACCCGGTTTCAAGTTATGTGCCAAGTCATGGACTTCTCGAGTGTTTATAATGTTCTTCTCGGACGGCCTTGGATTCATACTTCAGGCGCTATACCTTCTTCACTCCATCAAATGTTGAGATTTGTGGTGAATGGCCAATTGATTACGATATTTGCTGAGGAAGATTGCACTATGATCGTTAATCCAGCATTGGAAGATGATGGCGATAGAAAAGCTCTGGTTTCCCATCATCATGTAGCTGACATTGTTTTGGTGGGTAAGGCATCCAAGGACAAGGCGGCAGTAGAAATGAATTTACCTGAACCAAGTGTTATGATGGCTAAAGAGATGATTTGAGGAGGATATGAGATGGGCAAGGGCCTCGGGCGCAACCTACAGGGAGTTTTGGAACCAATAGAGCTTCAAGGAAAGAAGGACACCTTCGGATTAGGGTTTCAACCTACTATCAAGGATAAGATGGAAATGATGAATCGCAAAAAGGCGGAGAAGAAAGGAAGGCAACTTGTCATGAATATCCCACCATTATATTGTACTTTTCCTTACCCATCAGAGGTGATTAGAGCTGAAGTAGACCCAATCGAGGAAGTGGAGGTTGGTTTGTCTGAGCTATTTGTGGGGGTTGCTTCTGAGAAGGAGCTATTGGAGGACCCAGAATTTTCAGAGGTGTCTACCGAAACAATGAAGAATTGGACCAGTGATTTCCTTCCCTCTCGAAGGGAATTTCAGTAAATCTGGAGAGTTGCCTTTGGTCGCCATGAAAGAACTTTTTCGCATTGTTTATCTTTTGTCTTTCAGTTTTGTAAATAGTTTTTAATCAAATGCTTTTCAATCAAAGTCTTATGTTGAATTTTTTGTTAAGTCGCATGTTATGATCCTTTACCTTCAAATTCAATGAAATGCATGGTGTTTATTTTTCAAATTGATTTGCTTACATATTGTTTTATCTATTTTATTCTTTTTCAAATGGTCAAAAATAAAACACATTGACCCTTTGGATATCACTATTTTGGAATTTGATGATTGTGACCTCGATATCCCTCACCACTTTGAAATTTTGGAATCCGAAATTCAAGACAGGAGCGATAACGAGGAAGAATCTGAGTCTTTATTAAAGGATCTTGAACAATATGAGGAGAAATCCAAACCGAACTTAGAAGAAACAGAAGTTGTTAATATTGGCACTGAGACTGAGGTTCATTTGAATAAGAAACAGAGAAAAGAAATGATCGAGTTTTTTTATCATGTTTCAAGATGTGTTTGCCTGGTCCTATAATGATATGCCTGAAATTTCAACAGATATAGTGGTCCACCGATTACCGACTGATCCAAATTTTCCACCAGTGAAACAAAAACCTCGCAAGTTTAAGCCAGACATGAGCCTCAAAATTAAGGAGCAAATCGAGAAGCAGCTCAATGCTAGAATTATTAAGGTGTCTCATTATCCCATTTGGCTTTCAAACCTTGTACCTGTTCCAAAGAAAAATGGAGAAGTACGAGTATGTGTCGATTACAGGGATCTTAATAAAGCCAGCCCAAAAGATGATTTTCCATTGCCGAACATTCATATTCTTCTGGACAATACCGCAAGGCATGAGATTGAATCATTTGCTGACTGTTTCGCCGGATATCACCAGATCTTAATGGCAGAGGAGGACAGGGAGAAAATTGCTTTTATCACGCCCTGGGGGACATTTTGCTACCGAATAATGCCGTTTGGATTGAAAAATGTCGGCGCTACTTATCAAAGGACTATGA